TAGAGACCCCCTAGAGACCCCCTATAGACCCCCAGAGACCCCCTAGAGACCCCCTAGAGACCCCCTAGACACTCTAGAGACCCCCTAGACACACCTAGAGACCCCCTAGACACCTCTAGACACCCCTAGAGACCCCCTAGAGACCCCTAGAGACCCCACCAGAGACCCCCCCAGATACCCCCCTAGGGACCCCCTAGAGACCCCCAGAGACCCCCTAGAGACCCCCTAGAGACCCCTAGAGACCCCCAGAGACCCCCCAGAGACCCCCTAGAGACCCCCTAGAGACCCCCTAGAGACCCCTAGAGACCCCATAGAGACCCCCTAGAGACCCCCTAGAGACCCCCAGAGACCCCCTAGAGACCCCCTAGAGACCCCCCTATAGACCCCCAGAGACCCCCTAGAGACCCCCTAGAGACCCCCTAGAGACCCCTAGAGACCCCCTAGAGACCCCCAGAGACCCCCTAGAGACCCACTAGAGACCCCTAGAGACCCCCTAGAGACCCCTAGACACCCCACCAGAGACCCCCCAGATACCCCCCTAGGGACCCCCTAGAGACCCCTAGAGACCCCTAGAGACCCCCTAGAGACCCCCAGGGACCCCCACAGCTACTTGAGCAGCAGCATCCTGCGGGCCAAGGCGTTGCTCTCCGGCCAGCGTTTCATCTTCTGGTAGAGCTCCGCACTCTTCATGTCAACGGCTCGCAGCTCTGACGTCAGCTTGCCTGCAGGGACACGGGGATACTCACCAAGTCACTCACCAACTCACTCACCAACTCACTCACCAAGTCACTCACCAACTCACCAACTCACTCACCAACTCACTCACCAACTCACCAACTCACTCACCAACTCACTCACCAACTCACTCACCAACTCACTCACCAAGTCACTCACCAAGTCACTCACCAACTCACTCACCAACTCACTCACCAAGTCACTCACCAAGTCACCAAGTCACTCACCAAGTCACTCACCAACTCACTCACTCACCAACTCACTCACCAAGTCACTCAACAAGTCACTCACCAAGTCACTCACCAACTCACTCACCAACTCACTCACCAACTCACTCACCAACTCACCAAGTCACTCACCAACTCACTCACTCACCAAGTCACTCACCAAGTCACTCACCAACTCACTCACCAACTCACTCACCAACTCACCAAGTCACTCACCAACTCACTCACTCACCAAGTCACTCACCAACTCACTCACCAACTCACCAACTCACTCACCAAGTCACTCACCAACTCACTCACCAACTCACCAAGTCACTCACCAAGTCACTCACCAACTCACTCACCAAGTCACTCACCAAGTCACTCACCAACTCACTCACCAACTCACTCACCAACTCACCAACTCACTCACCAACTCACTCACCAAGTCACTCACCAACTCACCAAGTCACTCACCAACTCACTCACCAAGTCACTCACCAACTCACTCACCAACTCACTCACCAACTCACTCACCAACTCACTCACTCACTCACCAACTCACTCACCAACTCACTCACCAACTCACTCACCAACTCACTAACCAACTCACTCACCAACTCACTCACCAACTCACTCACCAACTCACTCACTCACCAAGTCACTCACCAAGTCACTCACCAAGTCACTCACCAAGTCACTCACCAACTCACTCACCAACTCACTCACCAACTCACTCACCAAGTCACTCACCAACTCACTCACCAACTCACTCACCAAGTCACTCACCAACTCACTCACCAACTCACTCACCAAGTCACTCACCAACTCACTCACCAACTCACTCACCAACTCACTCACCAACTCACTCACCAACTCACTCACCAAGTCACTCACCAACTCACTCACCAACTCACTCACTCACCAAGTCACTCACCAAGTCACTCACCAACTCACTCACTCACCAAGTCACTCACCAACTCACTCACCAACTCACTCACCAAGTCACTCACCAACTCACTCACCAACTCACTCACCAAGTTACTCACCAACTCACTCACCAACTCACTCACCAACTCACTCACCAACTCACTCACCAACTCACTCACCAAGTCACTCACCAAGTCACCAAGTCACTCACCAAGTCACTCACCAACTCACCAACTCACTCACCAACTCACTCACCAACTCACTCACCAACTCACTCACTCACCAAGTCACTCAACAAGTCACTCACCAAGTCACTCACCAACTCACTCACCAACTCACTCACCAACTCACTCACCAAGTCACTCACCAAGTCACCAAGTCACTCACCAAGTCACTCACCAACTCACCAACTCACTCACCAACTCACTCACCAACTCACTCACTCACCAAGTCACTCAACAAGTCACTCACCAAGTCACTCACCAACTCACTCACCAACTCACTCACCAACTCACTCACTCACCAAGTCACTCAACAAGTCACTCACCAAGTCACTCACCAACTCACTCACCAACTCACCAAGTCACTCACCAACTCACCAACTCACTCACCAACTCACTCACCAAGTCACTCACCAACTCACTCACCAACTCACTCACCAAGTCACTCACTCACCAAGTCACTCACTCACTCACCAAGTCACTCACTCACCAACTCACCAAGTCACTCACCAACTCACTCACCAAGTCACTCACCAACTCACCAAGTCACTCACCAACTCACTCAGCAACTCACTCACTCACTCACCAACTCACTCACTCACCAAGTCACTCACCAAGTCACTCACTCAGTCACTCACCAACTCACTCACCAAGTCACTCACTCACCAACTCACTCACCAAGTCACTCACTCACTCACTCACCAACTCACTCACCAAGTCACTCACCAAGTCACTCACTCACCAAGTCACTCACCAACTCACTCACCAAGTCACTCACTCAGTCACTCACCGACTCACTCACCGACTCACTGACTCACCAATTCACTCACTCACCCACTCACTCACTGACTCACCAACTCACTCACTCACCCCCTCACTGACTAACTCACTCACCCACTCACTCACCCACTCACTCACTCACCACCCACTCACACACTCACCAACTCACGCACCCACTCACTCACTCACCCACCCACTCACACACTCAATCACTCACTCACACACACTCACTCACCCACCCACTCACTCACTCACCCACTCACTCACCACTCACTCACACACTCACCAACTCACGCACCCACTCACTCACTCACCCACTCACACACTCAATCACTCACTCACCACCCACTTACATACTCACCCACTCACCACCCACTTACATACTCACCCACTCACTCACCCACTTACATACTCACCCACTCACTCACCCACTCACTCACCACCCACTCACCCACTCACTCACCCACTCACTCACTCACTCACCCACTCACTCACCCACTCACTCACCCACTCACCCACTCACTCACCCACTCACTCACTCACCCACTCACACACTCAATCACTCACTCACCACCCACTCACTCACTCACTCACCCACTCACTCACCCACTCACTCACCCACTCACTCACCCACTCACCCACTCACTCACCCACTCACTCACCCACTCACCAACTCACTCACCCACTCACCCACTCACTCACCAACTCACTCACCCACTCACTCACTCACCAACTCACTCACCCACTCACTCACCCACTCACCCACTCACTCACCCACTCACCCACACTCACCAACTCACACACCAACTCACTCACCAACTCACTCACCAACTCACTCACCCACTCACTCACTCACCCACTCACCCACTCACTCACTCACCCACTCACTCACCCACTCACCCACTCACTCACCCACTCACCCACTCACTCACACACTCACTCACCCACTCACTCACCCACTCACCCACTCACTCACACACTCACCCACTCACTCACACACTCACTCACCCACTCACTCACCCACTCACCCACTCACTCACACACTCACCCACTCACTCACACACTCACCCACTCACTCACACACTCACCCACTCACTCACCCACTCACCCACTCACTCACCCACTCACCCACTCACTCACTCACTCACCCACTCACTCACCCACTCACCCACTCACTCAGTCACCAACTCACTCACCCACTCACCAACTCACTCACTCACCCACTCACTCACCCACTCACTCACCCACTCACTCACCCACTCACCCACTCACTCACCCGCTCACCCACTCACTCACCCACTCACCAACTCACTCACCCACTCACCCACTCACTCACCCACTCACTCACTCACTCACACACTCACCCACTCACTCACACACTCACTCACCCACTCACTCACCCACTCACCCACTCACTCACACACTCACCCACTCACTCACACACTCACTCACCCACTCACTCACCCACTCACCCACTCACTCACACACTCACCCACTCACTCACACACTCACCCACTCACTCACACACTCACCCACTCACTCACACACTCACCCACTCACTCACCCACTCACTCACCCACTCACCCACTCACTCACCCACTCACTCACTCACCAACTCACTCACCCACTCACCCACTCACCCACTCACTCACCCACTCACCCACTCACTCACACACTCACCCACTCACTCACACACTCACCCACTCACTCACCCACTCACCCACACTCACCAACTCACTCACTCACCCACTCACTCACACACTCACACACCCACTCACCCACTCACTCACCCACTCACTCACCCACTCACTCACCCACTCACTCACCCACTCACTCACCCACTCACCCACTCACTCACCCACTCACTCACCCACTCACCAACTCACTCACCCACTCACCCACTCACCCACCAACTCACTCACCCACTCACTCACTCACCAACTCACTCACCCACTCACTCACCCACTCACCCACTCACTCACCCACTCACCCACACTCACCAACTCACACACCAACTCACTCACCAACTCACTCACCAACTCACTCACCCACTCACTCACTCACCCACTCACCCACTCACTCACTCACCCACTCACTCACCCACTCACCCACTCACTCACCCACTCACCCACTCACTCACACACTCACTCACCCACTCACTCACCCACTCACCCACTCACTCACACACTCACCCACTCACTCACACACTCACTCACCCACTCACTCACCCACTCACCCACTCACTCACACACTCACCCACTCACTCACACACTCACCCACTCACTCACACACTCACCCACTCACTCACCCACTCACCCACTCACTCACTCACTCACTCACCCACTCACTCACCCACTCACCCACTCACTCAGTCACCAACTCACTCACCCACTCACCAACTCACTCACTCACCCACTCACTCACCCACTCACTCACCCACCCACTCACCCACTCACCCACTCACTCACCCACTCACCCACTCACTCACCCACTCACCAACTCACTCACCCACTCACCCACTCACTCACCCACTCACTCACTCACTCACACACTCACCCACTCACTCACACACTCACTCACCCACTCACTCACCCACTCACCCACTCACTCACACACTCACCCACTCACTCACACACTCACTCACCCACTCACTCACCCACTCACCCACTCACTCACACACTCACCCACTCACTCACACACTCACCCACTCACTCACACACTCACCCACTCACTCACCCACTCACTCACCCACTCACCCACTCACTCACCCACTCACTCACTCACCAACTCACTCACCAACTCACTCACCCACTCACTCACTCACCCACTCACCCACTCACTCACTCACCCACTCACTCACCCACTCACCCACTCACTCACACACTCACCCACTCACTCACACACTCACCCACTCACTCACCCACTCACCCACACTCACCAACTCACTCACTCACCCACTCACTCACCCACTCACTCACCCACTCACCCACTCACTCACTCACCCACTCACTCACCAACTCACTCACTCACCCACTCACCAACCCACTCACTCACCAACTCACTCACCCACTCACTCACTCACCAACCCACTCACCCACTCACTCACCCACTCACCCACTCACTCACCCACTCACTCACCCACTCACCCACTCACTCACCCACTCACTCACTCACCCACTCACACACTCACCCACTCACCAACTCACTCACCCACTCACCCACTCACTCACCAACCCACTCACCCACTCACCCACTCACTCACCCCCTCACCCACTCACTCACCCACTCACCCACTCACCCACTCACTCACCCACTCACCCACCCACTCACCCACTCACCCACTCACCCACTCACCCACTCACTCACCCACTCACCCACTCACCCACTCACTCACCCACTCACCCACTCACTCACCCACTCACCCACTCACTCACCCACTCACCCACTCACCCACTCACTCACCCACTCACCCACTCACTCACCCACTCACACATTCACCCACTCACTCACCCACTCACTCACCCACTCACCAACTCACTCACTCACTCACCCACTCACCCACTCACTCACCAACCCACTCACCCACTCACCCACTCACTCACCCACTCACTCACACACTCACCCACTCACTCACCCACTCACCAACTCACTCACCCACTCACCCACTCACTCACCCACTCACTCACCCACTCACTCACCAACTCACTCACCAACTCACTCACCAACTCACTCACCAACTCACTCACCCACTCACCCACCCACTCACCCACTCACTCACCCACTCACTCACCCACTCACTCACCCACTCACCCACTCACTCACTCACTCACACACTCACCCACTCACCCACCAACTCACTCACCCACTCACTCACTCACCCACTCACTCACACACTCACCCACTCACTCACCCACTCACTCACTCACCAACTCACTCACCCACTCACCAACTCACTCACTCACTCACCCACTCACTCAGCCACTCACTCACTCACCCACTCACCCACTCACTCACTCACCAACCCACTCACCCACTCACTCACTCACCCACTCACCCACTCACTCACTCACCAACCCACTCACCCACCCACTCACCCACTCACTCACTCACCCACTCACCCACTCACTCACCCACTCACTCACCCACTCACTCACCCACTCACTCACTCACCAACTCACCCACTCACTCACCCACTCACTCACTCACCCACTCACTCACTCACCCACTCACTCACACACTCACCCACTCACTCACCCACTCACTCACTCACCAACCCACTCACCCACTCACCAACTCACTCACTCACTCACCCACTCACTCAGCCACTCACTCACTCACCCACTCACCCACTCACTCACTCACCAACCCACTCACCCACTCACTCACTCACCAACTCACTCACTCACTCACCCACTCACTCAGCCACTCACTCACTCACCCACTCACCCACTCACTCACTCACCAACCCACTCACCCACTCACTCACTCACCCACTCACCCACTCACTCACTCACCAACCCACTCACCCACCCACTCACCCACTCACTCACTCACCCACTCACCCACTCACTCACCCACTCACTCACCCACTCACTCACCCACTCACTCACTCACCAACTCACCCACTCACTCACCCACCAACTCACTCACCCACTCACTCACTCACCCACTCACTCACACACTCACCCACTCACTCACCCACTCACTCACTCACCAACCCACTCACCCACTCACCAACTCACTCACTCACTCACCCACTCACTCACCCACTCACTCAGTCACTCACTCAGTCACTCACCCACTCACTCACTCACCCACTCACTCACCCACTCACCCACTCACCCACTCACTCACCAACTCACTCACTCACTCACCCACTCACTCACTCACCAACTCACCCACTCACTCACCCACTCACTCACTCACCCACTCACTCACTCACTCACCCACTCACCCACTCACTCACCACCCACTCACCCACTCACTCACCCCCTCACCAACCCACTCACCCACTCACTCACTCACTCACCCACTCACTCACCCACTCACCCACTCACTCACCCACTCACCCACTCACCCACTCACTCACCCACTCACTCACCCACCCACCCACTCACTCACCCACTCACTCACCCCCTCACCTCCCAGGCTGCCCTTGATAAGCTGCAGTGCAGCTTCATGTTTGTTGAGGAGGTCCAAAATGAGGAGGTAAAGCTGCACCTACACAGACAAAGATCCCCCAGGTAGCCTTAGCAGTGATGTAGGGGCAAGTGCTGTGAGTAGCGAGTAGCTGCACCTACACAGACAAAGATCCCCCAGGTAGCCTTAGCAGTGATGTAGGGGCAAGTGCTGTGAGTAGCAAGTAGCTGCACCAACACACAGACACAGACAAAGATCCCCCAGGTAGCCTCTAGCAGGCTGTAGGGGCAAGTGCTGTTAGTAGCAGTAGCAGCCCCTACACACAGACAAAGATCCCCCAGGTAGCCTTAGCAGTGATGTAGGGGCAAGTGCTGTGAGTAGCAAGTAGCAGCCCCTACACACAGACAAAGATCCCCCAGGTAGCCTTAGCAGTGATGTAGGGGCAAGTGCCGTTAGTAGCGAGTAGCTGCACCTACACACACACAGACAAAGGTCCCCCAGGTAGCCTTAGCAGTGATGTAGGGGCAAATGCTGTGAGTAGCGAGTAGCTGCACCTACACAGACAAAGATCCCCCAGGTAGCCTTAGCAGTGATGTAGGGGCAAGTGCTGTGAGTAGCGAGTAGCTGCACCTACACAGACAAAGATCCCCCAGGTAGCCTCTAGCAGGCTGTAGGGGCAAGTGCCGTGAGTAGCGAGTAGCTGCACCTACACAGACAAAGGTCCCCCAGGTAGCCTTAGCAGTGATGTAGGGGCAAGTGCTGTGAGTAGCGAATAGCTGCACCTACACAGACAAAGATCCCCCAGGTAGCCTTAGCAGTGATGTAGGGGCAAGTGCTGTAGTTAGTAGTGAGTAGCTGCACCTACACACACACAGACAAAGGTCCCCCAGGTAGCCTTAGCAGTGATGTAGGGGCAAGTGCTGTTAGTAGCGAGTAGCAGCACCTACACACACAGACAAAGATCCCCCAGGTAGCCTTAGCAGTGATGTAGGGGCAAGTGCCGTTAGTAGCGAATAGCTGCACCTACACAGACAAAGATCCCCCAGGTAGCCTTAGCAGTGATGTAGGGGCAAATGCTGTGAGTAGCGAGTAGCTGCACCTACACAGACAAAGATCCCCCAGGTAGCCTTAGCAGTGATGTAGGGGCAAGTGTTGTTAGTAGCGAATAGCTGCACCTACACAGACAAAGATCCCCCAGGTAGCCTTAGCAGTGATGTAGGGGCAAGTGCCGTTAGTAGCGAGTAGCAGCACCTACACACACAGACAAAGATCCCCCAGGTAGCCTTAGCAGGGCTGTAGAGGCAAGTGCTGTAAGTAGCGAGTAGCAGCACCTACACACACAGACAAAGATCCCCCAGGTAGCCTTAGCAGTGATGTAGGGGCAAGTGCTGTTAGTAGCGAGTAGCAGCACCTACACACACAGAGGGGGTGGGTGGCTACCAGCACCACGCCCGGCCGCCTTTGTCTCTCCCCCAGTGCTGGCGATGTTCACTACACACCACAGCTACACCAGACACTCAGTTGAGGCTGAGTCGACCTAGGGGAGGCCCAGGACCGGTTCAGATAATCGCTGTCACTGATGGTGGTGGTGGTGGCCGTGAGCGGGAATCGAACCCAGGTCACTGTTCACGATGGCCGTGTAGCTGTGTAGCTGGGTAGCTGGCTGGGTAGCTGGGTGGGTAGCTGGGTAGGTAGCTGGGTAGCTGGCTGGGTAGCTGGCAGGGTAGTTGGTGTCTGGCTGGGTAGCTGGCTGGGTAGCTGGCAGGGTAGCTAACTGGGTAGCTAACTGGGTAGCTGGGTAGCTGGCTGGGTAGCTGGCAGGGTAGCTGGGTACGTCAGCTGGCCGGGTAGCTGGGTAGCTGGCAAGGTAGCTGGCAGGGTAACTGGGTAGCTGGCTGGGTAGCTGGCTGGGTAGCTGGCAAGGTAGCTGGCTGGGTAGCTGGCAAGGTAGCTGGCTGGGTAGCTGGCTGGGTAGCTGGCTGGGTAGCTGGCTGGGTAGCTGGCTGGGTAGCTGGCAAGGTAGCTGGCTGGGTAACTGGCAAGGTAGCTGGCTGTGTAGCTGGCTGGGTAGCTGGCTGGGTAGCTGGCTGGGTAGCTGGGTAGCTGGCTGGGTAGCTGGCTGGGTAACTGGCAAGGTAGCTGGCTGGGTAGCTGGCAAGGTAGCTGGCTGGGTAGCTGGCAAGGTAGCTGGCTGGGTAACTGGCAAGGTAGCTGGCTGGGTAGCTGGCTGGGTAGCTGGCTAGGTAGCTGGCTGTGTAGCTGGCTGGGTAGCTGGCTGGGTAGCTGTGTAGCTGGCTGGGTAGCTGGGTAGCTGGCTAGGTAGCTGGCTGGGTAGCTGGGTAGCTGGCTGTGTAGCTGGCAGGGTAGCTGGCTAGGTAGCTGGCTGGGTAGCTGGCTGGGTAGCTGGCTGGGTAGCTGGCTGGGTAGCTGGGTAACTGGCTGGGTAGCTGGCTAGGTAGCTGGGTAGCTGTCTGGGTAGCTGGGTAGGTAGCTGTCTGGTTCACCTCTGCCTCTGCTTCGATGCGATTCTCCGTCACCATCTTGAGCACCATCCTCTCAGCCAGGGGCAGGAACATCGTGGTGGCCAGCTGACTCCCACCCACCGAGAGAGCCTGCACCACCACCATCACCACCACCATCACCACCACCATCACCACCATCACCACCACCATCACCACCATCACCACCATCACCACCATCACCATCATCACCACCATCACCACCATCACCACCACCATCATCACCATCATCATCACCATCACCACCATCATCACCACCACCATCACCATCATCACCACCATCATCACCATCACCACCATCATCACCATCATCATCACCATCACCACCATCATCACCACCACCATCACCATCATCACCACCATCACCATCATCATCAACATCATCAATATCATCACCACCATCACCACCACCACCATCACCACCATCACCACCACCACCATCACCACCATCACCATCACCACCACCATCACCACCATCACCATCACCACCATCATCACCACCATCACCACCATAATCACCACCACCATCATCACCATCACCACCACCACCATCATCATCACCATCATCATCACCACCACCACCATCACCATCATCACCACCATCACCATCACCACCATCACCACCATCACCACCACCATCACCACCATCACCACCATCACCACCATAATCACCACCATAATCACCACCACCATCATCACCATCACCACCACCACCATCATCACCACCATCACCACCATCACCACCATCATCACCATCATCATCACCATCACCACCATCACAACCACTATCACCACCACCATCACCATCACCACCACCATCACCATCATCACCACCATCACCACCATCACCACCATCACCACCATCACCATCACCACCATCATCATCACCACCATCACAACCACTATCACCACCACCATCACCACCACCATCACCACCATCACCACTATCACGACTATCACCACCATCACCACCACCACCATCACCACCATCACCACCATCACCATCACCACCATCATCACCACCACCATCATCACCATCACCACCATAATCACCACCATAATCACCACCACCATCATCACCATCACCACCACCACCATCACCACCACCATCACCATCATCACCATCATCACCACCATCACCACCATCACCACCATCATCATCACCATCACCACCATCACAACCACTATCACCACCACCATCACCACCATCACCACTATCACGACTATCACCACCATCACCACCATCACCACCACCACCATCACCACCATCACCACCATCATCACCACCACCATCACCACCATCACCACCATCACCACCATAATCACCACCATAATCACCACCACCATCATCACCATCACCACCACCATCACCACCATCACCACTATCACGACTATCACCACCATCACCACCACCATCACCACCATCACCACCATCATCACCACCACCACCATCATCACCATCACCACCATAATCACCACCATAATCACCACCACCATCATCACCATCACCACCACCACCATCACCATCACCACCACCATCACCATCATCACCATCATCACCACCATCACCACCATCACCACCATCACCATCACCACCATCATCACCACCACCATCACCACCATCACCACCATAATCACCACCACCATCATCACCACCATCACCATCACCACCATCACAACCACTATCACCATCATCACCACCATCATCATCACCATCACCACCACCATCACCACCACCATCACCACCATCACCACTATCACGACTATCACCACCATCACCACCACCACCATCACCACCATCACCACCATCATCATCAGCTGTGTGTGTAGCTGTGTAGCTGTGTGTGTAGCTGTGTGTGTAGCTGTGTGTGTAGCTGTGTGTGTAGCTGTGTGTGTAGCTGTGTAGCTGTGTGTGTAGCTGTGTGTGTAGCTGTGTGTGTAGCTGTGTGTGTAGCTGCGTGTGTAGTGCTGTGTGTGTAGCTGTGTGTGTAGCTGTGTGTGTAGCTGTGTGTGTAGCTGTGTGTGTAGTTGTGTGTGTAGCTGTGTGTGTAGCTGTCTGTGTAGCTGTCTGTGTAGCTGTGTATGTAGCTGTGTAGCTGTGTGTGTAGCTGTGTGTGTAGCTGTGTAGCTGTGTGTGTAGCCGTGTAGCTGTGTGTGTAGCTGTGTGTGTAGCTGTGTAGCTCTGTGTGTAGCTGCGTGTGTAGCTGTGTAGCTGTGTGTGTAGCTGTGTGTGTAGCTGTGTGTGTAGCTGAATAGCAGTGTGTGTAGCTGTGTGTGTAGCTGTGTAGCTGTGCGTGTAGCTGTAGCTGTGTGTGTAGCTGTGTGTGTAGCTGTGTGTGTAGCTGCGTGTGTAGCTGCTGCGTGTGTAGCTGCGTGTGTAGCTGCGTGTGTAGCTGTGTGTGTAGCTGCGTGTGTAGCTGCGTGTGTAGCTGCGTGTGTAGCTGCGTGTGTAGCTGTGTGTGTAGCTGTGTGTGTAGCTGTGTGTGTAGCTGTGTGTAGCTGTGTGTGTAGCTGTGTGTGTAGCTGTGTGTGTAGCTGTGTGTAGCTGTGTGTGTAGCTGTGTGTAGCTGTGTATGTAGCTGTGTGTGTAGCTGTGTGTGCCGGGAAAGGTCCTGGCAAGGATTATTCAGCATGGCCTTGCCAGGCACGCTGAGGAGAGGCTTGCGGAGCCCCAATGCGGTTTCAGGAAAGGGCGGTCCTGCACAGATGCCATATTTTCTGTCCATCTGCTACAGCAGAGGTGTAGGGAATTCCAACAAGACCTACATCTCTGCTTTATTGACCTGGTCAAGGCCTATGATACCATCAGTAGGCCTGGGCTCTGGGTCGTTCTTCGTGCTTTTGGAGTACCTGACCCTCTGCTCACGATCATTAAGGACCTTCATGATGGTGAAAACTACGTGGCCGGGAGTCAGAGCCATTCCCTGTACACCTTGGGGTGCGACAGGGATGTCCTCTGGCTCCCACATTATTTAACATCTATTTTGACCCCGTAGTTCGTGAAGCCTTCAATAGCTGTACCGGGGGAATCTCCATATGGTACAGATATAATGGGAGGCTAATCGATGCCCGGGTGCGGTCAAGGGATGGCTCCCTATTGCTCAACCACGTTATGTATGCTGATGATTTGGTAATAGCTGCTCAGTCAGAGGAGGAGTTGGAGACGCTGCTGCTGAGACTGGAGCGTGCCACTAAGAGGTGGGGCCTTACCATCAGCCCCACCAAAACTAAGCACCTGCCTGGGTATTTTGTACCATCGGACACTCCACCCCCACAACTCCCAATCGGTGATGGGGCAGTTGTGGAGAGAGTGGAGAGTTTCCCATACCTGGGCAGTGTGCTTATGACTGGCTCCAGTTTAACAGCAGAGGTCTCACTCCGAATCAGTCGAGCGGCAATATCTTTTCATCGGTTGCGTAACGCTGTGTGGAAGCTACCTGGTCTGTCGCTCCGCACTAAGCTTCAGGTCTTCTCGGCCACGGTCATTCCCTCCCTTCTCTACGCTTGCGAAACGTGGACCCCCCTAATGGAACATCTTCGCCGGTTAGAAACATTTAGGCTGGCCTGCCTACGATCCATCCTGGGTTTAACCAGACTGGATTGTGTGAGGAGCTCACAAATCCTTGAAAGATCTGGGCAGGGTCCCATCGGTGAGCTCCTCCGGCAGGCAAGGCTGCGATGGCTGGGTCATGTAGCCCGCATGCCCAGCCACCGCATGCCGAAACAGCTTTTGTTTGGCCGGATTGAGGGGGCTAAGCGGGCGCGGCACGGGCTAGAGAAGAGATGGAGTGATGTGGTACAGGAGGACGTGGAGCTGAGTGGACTTGCCGATGACTGGTACCAGCGGTGTCAAGATCGGCCTCTGTGGAGGAGGCTCGTGAAGGATGCTACTGGGCAGTTGGAGGCAGTCTCCCTCCAACA